GACAGAGACTGTCTGCCCCACGTGCAGAATACAACCGCTGTAGCTGAGTGTACGTGCAGAATCTGGGTGTGGGTTTGCTGCATGTACAGCCAACAATGAAATCACTGAAGAAATAAAGAACAGACATCAAGGATGTGTTTTCAGGGGGCATGTTGTCGGAACTCACCTGTCTGCCTCCTCCCAGCGCCCTGTCCACCTGTCCACCCCCACAGGACTCGCCACACCATCTCCAGCATCCATCTGTCCATCAATGTGCATTGGAGAGAAGTCTTCCAGTGTTCGTCTGTCCATCCAAGGTGCACTGGAGGAGACCTTCTTCCAAGGCTGTCCCCTCCCGCCCTCTTCCCCACCACGCCACCTCCTCCCATGCTCTCCCTCCTGCCCTCGTCCTTCAGACACGCCTGCTGCCCTAAGAAGACGTTAGAGACCTCTCAGCTGCCAGCTGCTTGCACATGAATGCCATGAACGGGCACACTGAGGCACACTGCCACACCGCATTCCGGCCTAAATTACAGCAGCGGACTGGCCATTGATTGAATCCAACAGCTCGCCCCCCATCCCCCCACCCCCCGCTGCATGGGACGTCTTCTCGCCGAGCCCAGGTGCCCTGGTCCTTCCATCCTCCCAGCGAGCCCAGGAGCTCATGCCCCTTCTCTGCCCAGGCCTGAGCAGTCACCTGGCATCTTAGCCAGCCTGTCACTGAGCTGGTCAGTGAGGAAAGTCAGGAAGACCAGGGCGTGGGTCTGTTGACACAGAGCCGGGTAGAGAGAGGCTCCAAGAGGGCAGCTCGTGTCCTGAGGCTGTGTGGAAGGTGAAGCCTGGAGCAGCCTGTCGTCATTGATGTCAACCCGTGTGCTACAGGGTAGAGCAGTGCTGTGTAGTGTCTCTTGGCTGTCACCTTGGTGGAAGCAGGCAGCCAGGCCTTTCTTCCTCAGTGCATCTGGGTGGGTTTGAACTGGCAGCCTCTATGTTCATAGCCAGGCTCAAACACTGAGCCAAGCACAGAGGGACTTGGATCAGCCAGAGCCAGGTAGGGATTCAGGACCCACCACTGCTTTTGTAGCGTCGGTGAGGTACCCAGCCCTCTCTCTGCCTCAGTCTCCTCATCCGTGGAATGGGGCTAGGGCTTTCACTGTACGTGTACACAACAAACCCGAGCGGCTTGTGAGGACAGATGCGAGGTGGCAGCTCTCCAAGCACTCTGTCATCCGATGACGTTGAAGAGTACACTCGGGAAAAGAATTCCACTTCAGTCCCTAATAGTTGAGCCCTTCCAAACCGAGTCACCCCCAAACACAAAGTCCTGCCCACAGGCCTGGCTGCAAGCAGGTGAACTTCCTGGGGAAGGAACTCCTTCCCAGGTGTGTGTGTGAAAAATAAAGGAAGTGTGGAATTCCCCCCATTTGTTCTGGAGAAGCTGACAGTGCGAGGAACAATCGTGGACTTTCAGTCAATGGGATTGTGCAGCCGAGCTTTCAAAACAACCCTAAATTGGGGGGTGCACATGAGACTGTGGGTCTCAAAGTGGTCCCAAGCTGGCAAGACTCCTGTAACTCAAGTTTGAGTGCCTTGCTTGATCTTTTAAACAGAGAGAGTGTGTGTGTGCTTCCAGGAGCTTGGCTCTCTCACTTGGCATTCGCATGAAGGCACACTGGGCTGGCTGGGAGAAGAGGACATGGGCAGGTGATGGTAAAACCATTGCCCGCCAGATGGGCATGGAAAGCTTCAGCGGCTGTGTCAGCTCAGTTACCTGAGGCAAGGGTCAGTCATTTAGGGAAAATGGTTTTTCCACTGGCTTTAGGGTCTAACACTAAGATTTTTAAGAGGTACTCAAAAGAAAAAGATCTTGCCTGAGTTATTATAAATTATCTTGTTTCTAAGCTTAAAATCTTTTCCATGCACTGCCTCCTTTTGTCATTTACTCGTGAGACTGGAAATAGGAAAGCTTTTGACCTAGACTCAAAATAGCTTTTTGTGGAACAATGATTCTTCAGTGCTTGCCCTCCTCACTCAAGCTAACCAGCCCCTGATGACCACAGTGTACAGACCACATGGGGAAGAAAGCCAGAAGGCCCGGAGCTGGAAGGGTCTGTGGAGTTGGAGGGGGTGAGGAGGGGGAGGGGGGCCGGGGAGGCTGCCCAGGCCTTTGGCTTGGGAAGTGGTATGAAGAGGTCAGGTAGGGACATGTGCAAGGAGCAGGCCCGTGGGAGGGAGACAAGATGATGGCATCCGCGTTGACCATCTGAAGTCTGGGGGATCCCAGTGTGATGTGGGCGTGTGAAGTTCTGGGGAGGAGTCATGTGGACACTACAGGTGGACTTCCACGTCACTGGCAGCAAGGAGGTGAGTGAAGCCACTTGAGTGCATTGAGGGACAGATGCAAAGACACCTGGGCAGTCCCATAGGGTGGCATGGACGTCACGCTGGACCCAACCCATAGTGAGCTGCCATGACACCTGGACAGAGTCCTGTAGGGTGGCGTGGACAGCAAGTGAGATCTGACCCATAGCAGAGCCACCAGCGACACCTAGACAGAGTCCTGTAGGGTGGCGTGGACAGCAAGTGAGATCTGACCCGTAGCAGAGCCGCCAGCGACACCTGGACAGAGTCCTGTAGAGTGGCGTGGGCAGCTGAGCCACCAGTTTCCAGAGGCAGTGTACTCACACAGGAGTAGACTGTTCATCTTTCTCCACAAAGCAGCTGGTGGATTTGAACTGTATTCCTTTGGGATGGCAGGGCAGATTCTTACCACTAGGCCACTAGAACTCACTTTGTTGCTGTTGTTGTTGATTGCCATCAAGTCAGGCACAACTCATAGCGACCCTGTGAACAAAAAGCCTGAAGCCTTTCTGTAACTATCATCATTTCTCCAAGTTCATAGTTTCTAGAGGCATGTTGTTTAGGAAGTAGATGCTGTTCCTGTTTCCAAACCTGTCTTAAGCTGGGAGCTCCACCAAACACTGTCCACCATGGGTAACCGTTATGGCATTTGACACCCCAGCGGCACAAGGTTCAGAGTCACAGCAAATTAGGTGCCTCAGATCAGCTACGACTCACAGCCACCCCTCAAGCGGTGGGTCGGAACCTTGTCCTCCCGGCACCATCCTCCCCCTCTCTGATGTACTTGAGGTCATTGCCACCGTCACTGTGTCTGCATCTTGCCAAGGGTCTTCCTCTCTTTCTCCGACCCTCTGTCTTCCCAGCATCTCTCTTTCTAAGGACTGGTCCTTCCTGACAACATGCCCAGGGTATGTGACAGTGTCTCCATCCTGTCCTCCAAGGAGCACTCTGGCTGCTCGTCCTCTGAATCAGACTTGCTCGTTCGTTGAGCCCGTGACAGTGAGGGAGAGGCTGAGGGTGAGGTTAGTCAGCGCCCTTGGCCAACACTACAATTCAGAAAGCATTGTAAAATGAGCAAATGCATGGCGGGGGTGGCCAAGGCTGGCTTCTACCCACTCCATAAAGGCGAACTTCCCATCAGTAATATCCGTGGTGGTGGTGGTGTCATCGTGTGTCACCAAGCTGCTTGCAACTCTTAGCGACCCTGTTGTTCAGCCGCTCTGAACCCTGCTCTATCCTGAGCCAGTCTCACTGACTCCAACACATCTACCCCCATATATTCCTTTAAGACAGTCCTTCCCTCACGTGTCCAGTGCCATGTTCATTACCTAACCACCTTTTTTCCTGTTCTACCTCCGTGTCAGGCCTGTTCTATGGCAGCGGTGCTATGCAGTATTTGTCCTTTTGTGACTGAGATATTTCACTCAGCACACTTTCATCCAGGCTTCCCCATGTTGGGTGACATGTTATGTGTTTGTTGTTTTTCAGTGCTGTGTAGTATTCCATCGTGTGCCTGAACCGTTGTTTTTCTATTTGTTTGTTGATGGACACTTGGGTTGCTTCCATCTCTTTGTTATTGTGAATAGTGCAGCCATAAACATGGATGTGCGTACATGTGTGTGAGTGGCAGCTCTGGTTTCTTTAGTGTGTATATTCTCAGTAGTGGAATTGCTGGGTCAAATGATATTTCTACTTCCACCTTTTTGAGAAAGCGCCAGACCATTTTACGCCGTGTCTGTACCATTCTACATTCCCACAAGCTTGAAGAGCAGTCCCAGTCTCTCCCCGCCACCCCCTCGCTAGCACGTGTCGTTACCACCCTGGGAACTGTGTTCACTATTGTGGCTGGGGCCACTGGGTTTCTGAAACTGTAAATCTCGATGGGAGCCGACTGCCTTGTCTTCTCCCGAGGAGCGCCTGGTAGACTTGAACCAGTGGACTTCTAGTTCGCCCAGTGCAGACTGTGATTAACACATGGGCCTTCCGTCTAACTGAGGGATGCCATCACAGAGTGTGCTAAGTCACATGCAGCCTGGCCCCACGGCAGGGCCTAGTGTAGACCTGGCTCTACCAGCCTGTCCTAGAAGAGGCACTGGCATCTGGTCAGATGCCCTGGACCACGTGTCTCCACCCACACTAGTCTGCAGGGGTCACTGCCTATGTGGACGCAAGCATATGGCCGTGGTGTTGGTTGCTGTCACCACAGTCCTGTGGAGCCGGGTGGGGGGGGTGCCACTGAGAATGGCCGCCCCCCCCCACCTGGGAACTGAGGGACAGTGGGCACCTAGCATCCTCAGACAGTCCTGCGAAGCCACCAGGGGCGCCATTGAGAATGGTCACCTCCCCCCACCCCAGGAACTGAGGGGCAGTGGGCACCTAGCATCCTCAGACAGTTCTGTGAAGCCACTGTGGCGCCATTGAGAATGGCTGCCTCCCCCCCAGGGGGGACTGAGGGACACTGGGCACCTAGCATTCCCAGGCCATCTTGCAGAGCCACCGGGGGCGCCATTGAGAAGGGACACCCCGGGGGGACCGAGGGACAGTGGGCACAGAGCATCCTCAGACAGTCCTGCGGAGCCACCGGGGTGCCACTGAGAATGGCCCCCCCGGGGGACTGATGGACAGAGCATCCCCAGGCCAGTCCTCTTTGTCCTCCCCAGGTGGCCCGGCAGCTCCAACCGTCCGTGCTGTGGATCGGAGACACAGAGAAAACCTTCTACAAGAGAGTGCCGCTCCAGGAGAGGAAGGTGAGGACGTCCCCCTCGGCCCTCGGCCCGGCCTGGCCCTTCCTCCCGCTCGGGGCCCTGGCCAGGACCACAGCTTTTCCAGACGCCCTTGCCATGCCACAACCACCAGCTACATTGCAGTGGAGTCGATTCAGCACCTAACGAGCCTCCACTGGGTCTCCCAGCCGTAACGCGGGGTAGGAAGCAAGTGCGCCTCTTTGTCCCGCAGATTTGAACACCTGACCTTTTGATCAGCAGCTCAGCACGAAGTGCACTTCTTCACCAGGGCTCTCGGGCAGCCTCAGAGGGAGAAGGAAGCAGGCGGGCTCTTTTCTCCACGCGTTACCTCCTGAACGCAGGTATCACCCACCGAAGAGTCCCGGAAGTCTGACTCTACAAGACATTGTCTAGTGGGACATGAGGGAGCTTTTAGGAGTTGCACAGCTAACCCCAAGGCACATGGTTCAAACTCAGCCACTGCTCTGTGAGAGAAAGACGGGCCGTCTCCTCCTGTGCAGTTTATTGTCTCTGAAAACCCCCCGGAGGGTCAGCTAAGAGTTGGCTCCAACTCAGTGGTCCTCGATGACAACAGTAGAACATGAACGAGATAGAGAAGAGGAATGGAGGGGCTTCAAACCCCGACAGACGAGTGGTATCAGACAACTCAGCTTACACGAAGAACCCCGGTGGCAGAGTGCTGCCGACAGAAACGTCGTCGGTTCAAGCCCACCAGCTGCTCCCATAAAGACTTAGAGCCACGAAGCATGATGGAATCACACCCATGCGATGGCTTTTGTGGGGTTTGCCTGTGTAAAGCAGATGGTACACGAGGACTGCCACCGGGACGCTTCCTTGTTCACAGTGACAAGCAGCGAAGGGGCCTGGGATTCATGCACCGAGGCCCCCCGTCCATCTGTACAGCAGCTCAATGGCCTCATGCAGCCAGGAGCTGATGAGGCCAGGAGCTGATGGGGCCAGGAGCTGATGGAGCCAGGAGCTGATGGGGCCAGGAGCTGATGGAGCCAGGAGCTGATGGGG